GCCTTATTTCTAAAAGTCCTAAGAATACGGCAATTTCCAAGGAAATGTGCTGCAAAATATGCTGAAAATCCTGTCCTGCGAGATGTAAAATCTGAAAATTTTCTGGGGGAGGACACCCAGACCCCCCCCCTGCTTATTCTCCTTCGTGTTAATCTACGTAAACTCTTTGTCTCTCTCTCTTGATAATTCAACCCCTGTAACGTCTATGTTCCTTCTAGAACAAGAACTACCCTGTTAGTCGAGATAAATTACTATAAAATCAGTTTAAATTAGTTAAAACTTTTATTGCGAGGAAATTTTTCCAAAAATAAGGAAATTTCCAAGGTTTTGAAGGAAATTATGTTTTTTGAAAATGGAAGCACTGGAAAGAAATGAAATGTCCGCCATCTTGGATTTTTGTAGATATGCATGTCACGTCACAACAGGGGCCACGCAATATTTTTATCTAGACAACCACTAATCATTTTGCACTCAAAATTATACTCTGTATGCGCTTGGAAATATCAAGATCACTTGAAACCTTTAAAACATCTACCAATCAATATTTGGTCTGCAACGAATACTTTTATATGGTTAATCCCTGTTGTGATGTCACCAAAACTACCGTTAATGAGATCAAAAATTTATCAAAGATGGCTGACATCTCATTACTTCAAATGAAAATATTTCAAGAACTAGACAAGATATGAAGAATCGGTATAAGAAGTTATTAAATAGTTTCAAAAGTTCTTTCAAATGAGAAAATAAAAAAATATATTGCCATTTTCTTTTAAGGTCCTTGATATGGAGGCACGGTCTTTTGTAAAAGACCTTAACATATATTAATGTACAGTATTGACGTCTTTTTGGCAGAAACATCTACAATATTTTTACCGTTCCCATAGGGGTCTCTACTATAGGGATCTTTTTTACGACAGGAATTCTTCACGGATCTAGTTGGAGCCTCGTCATTATAGTTGGCTGATAGGGCCTCTTTATATTTTAACAAATGTTAGATAGCATCGATTAAAGTATACAATCTGTGATATTAAGTGGAAGCTGTATTGAATTGTTTTATTTTTCTAGTACAATTTTAAATCATGAATTGGACTAAGAGACTATCGCCGGTGTCCCAGTTGACTTCCATTTGGACCCCCTTCAAAAGTTAAATATATGTAATTTGAACACAATAACAGGGGTGGAAAAAGTATCGGAACCTGGGAACCTAGTTCCCAGAAATTTTTTTGAGTTGAGAGTTTCACAGAAAATTTTCCAGAAAATATTTCAACATTTTGAGATAACTCTGTTTACTCAACTTACAATTTACAACTGTTCTACTTTATTTACACTGTACAGTGTACACACTAACATCAGCAGCCTGTTAAATATTTGACAGAAATTAATTCTGTTACCCACCCCTGTCAACGTAATGAGGTAAAATGGTAAACATATGCTCTGCAAAGTCTCCAATAAAATGCAAATTAAATAGTAAACAAGTCCCAGCACTATAATGCTATTATTATACTGCTATAATACTACCGGGCGGCACAAAAAATGGCCTGTTTGATTTATTTTAACTTAAAAACTAAAAGAGCTATAACACCTAAACTATGTGCATTGTATTCAGTATTGTCTAACTTAAATTTTTATATACACCCTGTGCATTTTCGTGCAATATTGACAGAGAGCTGCGTTTAAACTTGAATAAACATTTTGGGAAGTGTCGAGAATTAGCTAAAAACAGCCTGTTAAACTAATTTGATAACCATTACCATTTTATTGTAATATTCGTTTCAATGAAATGAAGTTTAAATTAAAAATGTTTATTGGATGGATGTGCTCTTTTATTTTTGTTTTAAGGTCTTTGCGAATGCATGAAAATTAACTTATAATGCGATTTTGATTAAAAGATTTATTCTAAATATTCAATGACCCTGCATGGAAATCAAATTCTAATGTTCCAAGAAAGAAACGTCCCGTGTTTTTTTATAAATATGCCTCATTTAATGAAGGACCAAAGAGTGTCGATATGTTTATAATATGTAAGGGTAAATAATGCTCGTAAAGTTATACCAGCGGCGTTGGTCAGGTCTCTGAAAACGAACGTGTATTACTATAGTGTGTCTAAACACAGGTTATTGCTGTATTCATATTTGATAGGCCGTTTTTGGCTAATTCTCAACCCTTTCAAAAATGGTTACTCAAGTTTAAACATAGCTCTGTTGGTCAATATTGCACGAAAATGCACAGGGCGTATATTAAAATTTAAGTTAGACAATACTGAATGCAATACACATAGTTCACATGTAATAGCTCTTTTAGTTTTTAAGTTAAAACAAATCACACCCGGCAACTTTTTTTTGTGCCACCCGGTACTATAATAAATAATAAATTAAAATAATACAGTACATTAAATTTAAGTAGAATAAATTAATTTAATACAGACACTCACTCAGACTATGATATATTTTATACCTTTAAACTGTGGTATATAACAGACAACCATTAAGATGCACAAGCATACGAAAACCAGCCTAAAGCCTATTATTATTAAAGTACAAAATAATTATGCATTTGTTTTGTCACCTCTGTAATTGTAACATTGCAAATTTCACAGAAAATTTTTAGCCTTTTACCTAGGTTCCCAGAAAGAAAGAAATTTTTTCCACCCCTGCACAATAATATAACCATTTTTGTCCTCATATGTTGACGAACCTCTGAGGCCTTACATCCAGGCTTTTAGCCAGAAGGGCATTCAGGCGTTCTGGGACGCTCCTAGAACAAAAAATGGACGCCTCTGGACGCTCAAATTCTGGGGAAAGAGGGAAATTATTTTCAATTATTTCCCTAAGTATATTTAATATATCTGAAACGAAATAGCTTCAATTCTCATTATTATTATACATTTGACATATTGATCAATTTGATGGTGTACCTGGCTGAATGAAAATTATGTCGTTCTGTAGTTAAGTAAAGAAGCATAGCGGACAAACTCACAAAGCCGAGTGTGTCTAAAAAATTTCGAACGAGCTTGGAACAGATACTGACATCAAGTAATGTAAACTTCAAAGGTTTTCTCAACCCCCTCCCCCCCCTCTTTACTGTAGATGTATCCTTGTACCAAAATTGGACGCCCTCTTTTAGGACCCTGGCTAAAAGCCTGCTTACATCTTTACTTTGTTGATACATAAGCTGTAAAAAGACAAATACATTTATTTAATGTATACATTCCAGTGTGTCTTGTTAACCCATTAAATGTGCCCAAATGCACCCAATTTATTATTTTACACTGTCTAAAGGTAGGCGACTTTATTCTGTCAAATGCCAAATCGCTATGTTTTACTTTTACTCTGTCTAATGCCAGACAATTTTATTTGTTAAGTGGAGAGTCTAGCAGACTAACACATTAATGGAATAAACATAATAAAATAACAAAGTACTAAAAGTAGGGCACATTGGTTCTAAATATGCCAACACAGAAGCTTTTGTAGTTAATTATTAACCTTTCAATGACCAACACTCATCCTGATGAGTAAAATCATCTGATAATTAAATATCAAAGTACTGAAACTTGTGAGGATCGAGTGTTTGGGTGAATTGTATCTAAATGTGTTAACACCAAACAATGCAGAATAGTCTGATGTTAGACAGGGCAAAATATTCAGCTTTGAAATAGAGCACATTCGTGTGAATGAGGTCTTAATGAGTTTACACATAACACAGGGAGACAGTAAGATAACCTAGCTATCAAAGTTGTCCACTCCCTTTCACAAGTAAAATGTTCTGGTGTTAGACAAGGTAAAATAAAAAAGTTGAGCACGTTTATCTTAACGAGTTAGCATGAAATGCAAGTAGAGAATCTGGTTAACTTGAATACCATCACATAGTTATTTCATATAAAAACATGGAGAATTTTCCTGGCATTACACTAAGGCTAACAGATTTTAATACATTGACTGGTGCAACACCTCTCACAAAGAAATATCAATTTTAATTTGAACAATAACATAGGAATAAATATCAAAACCTTAGGAAGGTTGCCGCTGATTTGAGCAAGTAGTTAATTAAATTTTCAAATTATGAGCTGAGCATAGTATATATACATGTATAGGCATGCATTAATGGCTGCCAATTAATCTGGCATATACAGTTGGCATATACAAATATATTATTATAAACTATCAACATGGATAAGTCTAATTCAAATGTAAAACTTTTATAGTAGCATTTGTTGAAGTATACAAGGTGTTAGCCGGCAGAAGTAAAAAAAAGTCTGCGTTCACCTGAAATTGGGAAATTTATTTTAGCCTGAATGCCGACATTTCTTTATGGGTCTCGAAGGAAATTTTGATTTCCTATAGGAAACCTATAGGAAATTTTTGTAAGGGATGCTTGGTTCTGTATTTACGTTATTAAAGGCAAAGCAATGATTTAAATTTACCTAAATATAGACTAACGACTGGACAAAGAATGTTCTCCTACACTACAGAGGGGCAAAATTGTATAATGATCTCCCTCGCGATATTAAGAAAATTGGGAACATAAAGATTTTGGAGATAAGACTACGAAGTGACCTTATTACAAGTAATCTATTAGCCTAACCTATTTTAGCCATTAAATTAACTGTATGATTGTATAGTATTTATTTGTTTGTAGCGGAATAGCCCTTTTTTGGGAGCTATAATAAAGTACCTGTGTCTATTAAAGCACATATGGCTATTTTTCCGGCGGAAAGAGCCTGGGAATAAGGTTGATGTTCCCCACACGTACTAACTTCCAGGCCTTGAATTTCTGTTTTATATTTTCAGGTAGTTATAGATTGCTCAACCAAGCTCACAAACTGGATTAAACCATGTCTGGTCATCGTGGAAAGACATCAGAGAGCTTAGTAAAACACAAAAGAGCACACTCAGGAAACAAACCTTTTGAATGTGATGTTTGTAAGAAGAGATATATACGCTTAGCCAGTTTGGTCATCCATACAAGAACGCATACTGGAGACAAACCTTATGAATGTGATGTTTGTAAGAAGAGATTCGCACACTCAGGCAGCTTGGTCATCCACAGAAGAACGCACACTGGAGACAAACCTTATGAATGCGATGTTTGTGAGAAGAGATATACACACTTAGGCAGCTTGGTGAGACATAGAAGACTGCACACTGGAGACAAACCTTATGAATGTGATGTTTGTAAGAAGAGATATACACACTCAGGCAGCTTGGTCATCCACAGAAGAACGCACACTGGAGAGAAACCTTATGAATGCGACGTTTGTGAGAAGAGATTTACACAATCAGTAGGCTTGGTGAGACATAGAAGATTGCACACTGGAGACAAACCTTATGAATGTGATGTTTGTAAGAAGAGATTTACACACTCAGGCAGATTGATCGTCCACAGAAGAACGCACACTGGAGACAAACCTTATGAATGCGATGTTTGTGAGAAGAAATATACACACTCAAACAGCTTGGTCATCCACAGAAGAACGCACACTGGAGACAAACCTTATGAATGCGATGTTTGTGAGAAGAGATATACACAATCAGGCAACTTGGCCCGACATAAAAGAACACACAGTGGGGACAAACCTTATCAATGTGATGTTTGTAAGAAGAGATTTACACGGTCAAGTTATTTAGCCATACATAAAAGAACACATACTGGCGATAAACCTTATGAATGTGATGTTTGTAAGAAGAGATTTGCACACTCAAGCGATTTTGCGAAACACAAAAGAACACACACTGGATACAGACCTTATGAATGTGATGTTTGTAAGAAGAGATTTACGCAGTGTGGCAACTTGGCGAACCATAGAAGAACGCACACAGGCGAGAAACCTTATGAATGTGATATTTGCAATGTTAGATTTGCACAATCAGGAACTTTAGCAATACACAAAAGAACTCACACCAGAGACAAACCTTTTGAATGCGATGTTTGTAAGAAGCGATTAAAAAACCCAAACAGCTTGGTGAATCACAAAAGAATGCACGCTGGAGACAAACCTTATGAATGTGAAGTTTGTAAGAAGAGATTTACACAGTCTGGTAGCTTGATGCGACATAGAAGAAGACACACTGAAGAAGTGCCTTACGAATGTGACGTTTGCAAGGAAAGATTTGCAAAGAAAATCCTCTCTTACCCACCACAAAAAGCAACATTTGTTGTGCAACACTTGCAGCAGAGAGATTGTTCAACCGCAAGATTTGAATGAACATTTTTTCGTGTTTGAACACGATGGAAAATGTAGCTGCAGTAAATGTGACAAACGATGTATTAATTTCATGAAATTGGTACAACATATTGCCAGGCAACATGGTAATGATGGAAACTATCAATGTGGTTTATGTCAAGAACTTGGATCAACAGGACCAACTGGTGTTGGATACGTTTGTTGCGTGTGTGATGTTATGTTTGTTGTTCCCAGAGAACTTGAAGATCACATGGCCACTCATGACTAAATTAAGTGAATTTCTACTATTTTTGCATTTTAAAGAGTATTGTGTTGCTGTTAGGTTACTACTATAGCTTTACTTTTTAACATAAAATGTTTATGCGGACTTGTCAGGGGTAGTTGCTACTTCATGATTTGTTATGTTCAACGCTAAACGTGATTGGCTGATTTGTGTTCACGAATCGATAACAGAAACTTGAAGATCGACGTTTACGAGAGACAGCAAACAACAAACTTCAAATCGCATTTTCGTGAAGTTCTGCAAGTTTTCGACGGCTAAGTATCTCATTTATGCTTTAATTTTATTGCACAAGTTGCCCTAACTTCGACAGCTAACAGTTGACCTCAAAATACGACGACGTTTGCCGTGAACAAAATGTATATATTTTGTTGACAATATTTAAAAACAGTCCCACTGCTACAAAAAAATAATGCCGTTTTCATGCACCTGTGGATTTAAATTCCGGAAAGATGTATTTTGAGAATGATAGTTCGTGACACTAGGAAATTTGGAAGTAACTTTTGACAATATTGCAAATAGATGTAGGTTAGATATACCTTTAAAATTCCAAGCTTAGTCAAAGCGATAAATGCAATAGTATTACAAACGTACAGTAGTGCGTTTTGGACTTAAGTTACAAGATGCAACAACAACACCAACAACAACAACAACAACAACAACAACAACAACAACAACAACAACAACAACAACAACAACAACAACAACAACAACAACAACAACAACAACAGCAACAATAACAATTTTACTAATACTCAGAAATTAGAAAGAAATTATATCACTCTTTAATGTCTACTCCCGAGGGAAATAGTTTGTTTTGTTTTCCCGAGAGTCGAGCGAAACATTGAGATTCGAGGGAAAACAAAACTAACTATATAACGAGGGAACAGACATTAAGCGTTTTGTTACGAACTACTGTTACGTTCACCGTAACAAGAAAGACTTAAAAACAGAAGAGTCTTATATTTTTATATTGTTTATTAATAAAAGAAAACTAGAAGAACGAAGAATCAGGATAGTTTAAACTGATCTGTCTATTGACAATGACACAGCTTTGCTTTTCAGACTTTGTCCTTTCACACTTTATAATATATTTCCTTTCCTTTAAGTCTTCACGACGACAATAACTTCACAATATCAAACTCTTCTTCTTTAACAACAACGACAATTATCTCTAAACTTTTAATTCTAAACTATCTTAAGCTTTCGCTGCTTATATACTGTCCGATAGATATTAATAAAACATTACGTCATACTATTTTTAGATAATTTCATAAGACGATAAATATAGCAAAACATGAGTTAGCATAATTACACAATGTCTTAAATTAAGAATGTTTATGACGTGACTGGCTTCACGTCACACTACAAACAAAAATCAACATAGCTACGAACAAAAATCAACATTCATACAACAATTATATTTCGTGACAAAAAGTCTATAGTGTAACTAAGTTTAAAATTAAAAGAACCTACTTAAACGGTTTCAGCGGCATATCTTGTTGCCTGTTGTGTATTTTTCTTCTCTTTTACATTCTTTATTTGAACACAAACTTGGAAAATCGTAGTTTCTAATTATGCTAGTTGTCCCGCCATTTTGTTTATGTATGTAGCCGGTCGGGGCGGCAAACAATTTTTCACAATGCTAATGCTACTATGCCCCTCGACGTTTTTTTTCTTCTAGTAATATGTTAGATGTTTATAAACACGTAATCATACACAGATGTAAGAATAATGGCCCCCATTTTTGACTCACCGATATCTGTGAGTCTTTGTGACATTTCGTCAAAACTTTTTTCTTCAAGATTGGTTTAGAAACAAACATTGAGTAGGGTTAGGTTAGGTTAGGTTAGGTTAGGTTAGGTTAGGTTAGGTTAGGTTAGGTTAGGTTAGGTTAGGTTAGGTTAGGTTAGGTTAGGTTAGGTTAGGTTAGGTTAGGTTAGGTTAGGTTAGGTTAGGTTAGGTTTGGTTTGGTTTGGTT